CACTTAGTCATGTTGTATAATCCTTTGAATGTGCTGTTAAATTCAGTTTTTACAGATAATTAAAATGACCTGTCTTTAAGTCTACTGATCTTTCTTCTGCTTGACCAAGTCTGTTTTTGAAGCCCCTCTAGTGAATTTTTCAGTTTATTTATTGTATTCTTCGCCTACAGTATTTTTGTTTTGTTCTTTTTTAATCATTTCTATTTCTTTGATGACAGTATCATTTTGTTCATATGTCGTTTAAAAAGTTTTTTCATTTGGTTGTGAATCTGTGTTCTTTTATAACTGAGCTTTAAAAAATAATTATTTTGACATTTTTGTTAGCCAATTTAAAGACCTCCATTTCTTTTAGGTTGGTTACTGAAAATTTGTTTTCTTCCTTTGGATGTGTCATGCTTTCTTGATTTTTCATGTTCCTGTAAGTTTGCTTTCTTGTCTGCACACTTGAAGAAGTGGCTGCCTCTCCCAGCCTTTATGAACTGGTTTTGACTGAGAGACACCTTTACTGGTCAGTAGTACTTGATATAAAGCAAGACAGAGACCAACTCTGCAGGGAGTACACAATAAAGCTGGGGACTAGACCCCTTTCACGTCTTCCCTTCCCTCCAAGAGGAAAAGCCTCAATTCTGTGCTTTTTCCAATCTTACAGAGCAGTGCCTCCTCTAAGAGGATATCTCCTCCTTCCTTCAATGTTAGCTGTCCCAGTGCTTGGTATATTTGGTCACTATATAATGATAAAAAATTCAACCCGCCAGGAATTCATTCATATTTACCTAAATCAATAGAATCAGGATGTACTAAGCAAACATCAATGGAATTACAGGCATAAACTGAAAAATCCATGGCTGTGTGAAGAGCCCTCAATATACTTTTCTCAATTATTCATAAGTCAAAGAGAACAAAAATTAGAAAGATTTAAGACATTTAAACAACACACAATGGAGATACACCGTGCTCTGCACTTAGAGACTGCCCTTCCTCAGTATCAGAATGTAGATCACTGAGTAGGAGTTATTTAGAAGGTTATGTCTTTGGAGGAGGCAGCTACTTACTCTGAGTTTAAGGCAAGGTTTATTAAAGAGACATACAGAGCTAATTATCCTCCTCAAGGTCTCCTGCCTCATGGCTGAGGCTAAAGGCACATTTCGTGGTTGAGTAGCCACGCAGCAGAACCCACCATGCTATTGGGGTGAGAAAGATGTGAACAAGGAGCTTTCATGTAACCTTGCCTCTCTTAATAGTTTCTCTGAGGGTGTTTCAGGCAGGCCAAGCATTGGGAAGATGCTTGAAGAGTGAGGTTATCTGAGAAAGAACCAAATAAGAATTGCTGTAGAGCATCCCTACCCACCTACCCACTTCGATGATGTCTGTGCTGGTGGTTGGTCATGACCTCTTTCCCAAGGCCCCCTGGCCCAAGAGCAGCTCTTAGTACAGATGGAGAAGATCCTTAATACCAGGAGCCCTGTGATGCTTCTGAGGTGGGTCAGAGGCTCTGGCCTGATGGAGGCAGATTTCCTCCTCTGATGTCTCCTGCATTGATGCCCAGCAGGAAGCACTGGACTGGAGTGTCACACTGCACACCTGCCTCCAGCATGGGCTGCCTGCCTGAGTTCTCCACACTTGATGCCAAGTCCAGATTGGCCACACTGGACTCAGTCCCCGGATCTAGCCCCATGACCATTTCAGAGAAATTGTGATTGCACAGAGAGGTAGGGAGACTGTACCCAGTGATTATTCTCACTGACTCACCATGAGACCATGGACAAGACTCATAGCCCCCTGTGTTCATTAATCCATAGCAGCATCACAATGGAACCACCCCCATGGCTTCACTCCTGATTTAAAAAGAGAGAGGGAATGAGGGCATAAGGCGGAGGATTTGGGATAGGTAGGGACCACTCAGTGAATGGAAGGCACTGGAGTCTTAGGTCCTGACACTCACTCCAGGCCCCATGTTAAGAGTGGCCATACTGGTGGAGAATGAAGTGGGGAAACTTGGGGTTGGCACAGGCACTTACTTCCATGCCTGTGGTCTCACCACAGTGGAGAAGATGTGAGCAAACAGGGAGTTCAGAGGACGCACCCTCCTCTAGCCATATCATGAATGGCCTGCCAATTTGCATATTAGCTCTTTATTATATAGGATAGTTACCTCATTTTTACAAGGAGAGGGAGAAGACAGGGACAGGGCTGGGGCAAGCTAAAGAAAAGGTCTCCCTGGGGGCCTCGGACTCTGTGCCCCAGGGTTTAGCCTCCACCTTGATCATGGTTAACTTGGCCCTTGTGACTCCAGGGTGAGGATGTTCTCTTTAGCACTGGGGGATGCCACCCATGAGCAGTTTCTCCCCCTGGGAGTACTGGTTCAGTGAGCAGAGCAACGAGAGGGCTGGGCTTCTGGGGACCTGGCAGGAGTGCATGGGCCAAAGGGAGAGAGAGTAGAGAAGCATGACAAGGGGAGAGGGATCAGGGACCAGGACCAAGAGAGATGGGGGCATGCAGGGGTCTGCACTGGGTTCTCAATGATCACAAGCACTAGGAGTAAAATAGGCTGGTCCTAGGGCATTTGTTATGGTTTATTTGTCCAAAAAAAAGCCATCCAGATAGTGAGGAGGTTGACAGCCCTTTGCCCAGGATTTAAGGTCGCAGGCACAGTTTTAGAGGGTTAGGGGAACAGAATACACATACCCACTCACAGGCGGTTCATGCAAACGTTCCCGCAGTAGGTTGAACAGCATATGGTATCTGAATTGGGACACTTTAGGAAATATGAACAGTGGTTGTTGCAAAGATATACACTGGGCCGCTTCTGACAGGCCTTGACACCTAAAAGGAACAGGAGCAAGGTCAATGGAACCAGGCCACACAAAACACTCCTCTCAAGCTTAAAGTCTCATCATGACTCCAAAACCCAGGTCCCACCATGACACTCTTGGACTTTGCAGGGAACTCCCTTTCTGCCCCTTACCAAATCCTGCTGATTGGTAGTATCTTCAATCCATTACCCCCATTCTCCATCAATAAGGTTTAATGTTTGGGCTTTCTGGACCCTTCCATACTCCTGCAGCCAGGACGCTGGTCTCATATTAGTCACTGCCTTGGTGAAGCCACCCCCATAGAATCTACACTCTGACTCTGAGAACTCAGTGAAGTCTGAAACATGTCAAAATTTCCTTTCCAAAAGTTCTTTCATTCTAGACCTACTCCCCAAAACATGTCTGGATATTGACCTGTCACATATGTGCATAAATGAAAGAATTGACTCTCAGTTCTGTGCACCTTTCACTATTGTATGCACCATATGTCTCTGGACTTTGAGAATGGAGAATAAAAAGATGTAGGTTGCCCTCGACCCCCATCACTAGTCCCAGGGCCCCGTAACGGAGCTGGAGGGCCATGATTTGGAAGGACCCAGAGTCTTCAGAGTCCTGTGGTCAGAGCTGGATGTGCTAAAAGGTTCAAGTCCCAGGTCATCCTTAGCTGGACACAGCCCCTCCTTCCCCCTCACCATCCCAGCCCACCAGCCCATCACCTACTCTTCATCTTGTTCTTATTACGGGGTCCTCCCTGGGCTTGTAGCAGCAGAACACAGAGAAGCAGGATGGGCAGCAGAGCCTGGGTTGGCATGACTCAGGCCAGAGCAGTGGGCTCTCTGTCTGGCACAGACTTTCCTGGAAGCTGGTGTGTGGAGAGAAGGTAAGAAAGAGCAAGTTATTCTGGGCTCCTCCCTGCCTTCACTAGCCAGGCCAGGGCAGGGCAAAAAGTCCTTGTGTCCTCCCCTGTGCCTGTCCCTCCCCATAGCCTGTTCTATGTGGGATTTGGGCTTCTGCAGACACTGCCCCTCCTGTCACATAACTAACCCTCTCCTTTCATAAACAGAACTTTTTTCTTTAATAATATAATATTTTTTTATATTCTAATTAGGAAATAATTTACAAAAAATTTTAAAGAAAAAAAAGTTATATATGTAAAAAGGTATGGAAACAAACTAAGTCCATCATCGGATGAATGGATAAAGAAGATGCAATGTAGCCCTAGCTGGTTTGGCTCAGTGGATAGAGTGTTGGCCCCCGGACTGAAGGACCCCAGGTTCGATTCCAGTCAAGGGCACATACCTCAGTTGCAGGCTTGATCCCTGGCAACCAATTGTTGTGTCTCTCTCGCATCAATGTTTCTTTCTCTGTGTCTCTCCCTCTCCTTTCCATTCTCTCTATAAACCAATAGAAAAATATCCTCAAGTGAGGATTAAATAAATAAATAAATAAATAAATCCTATATAATAAAAAAAAAAA